TTCTGTATAGTTCCTTTCAAAGCTCAGGGCTCCAGGATTATCTTTTGTATCTCTGTCAATTGGTTTTTCTTGTTTTTGTTGAAGAGGGTCTGTGTCACTTGTCTGCCTATTCCTCCATCTTACTGGAAATCCCCTTGTATATTCTTAATCAAAGTTTTTTTTTAAATTGATTTTACAAAAAAAAAAAAAAAACCAAAGTCACTGCCATCAAGTTGATTCTGACTCATAGCTACCCCCTTTGGGATTTCTGAGGTGGTAAATCTTTATGGAAGTAGATAGCCCAGTCTTCCTTCTGTGGAGTGGCTGGTGGGTTTGAACTGCCAACCTTCTGGTTAGCAGTCAAATGCTTTAGTCACTATGCCACCAGTTTGTCTCCCAATCTGTCATCTGTCTGTTAACTTTGTCCGTGGGATCAAAAATTCTTGATTTTAAGATAATCAAATTAATCAGTTTTATGGTTTATGTTTTGAGGTTTTGTTTAAGAAGTCCATTCCCATGCCATGTCACATGGTCTCCTGTTAACGTCATAGTTTTCCTGTTCACATTTAGCTCTGGAAGTGCTGTGGAAAGGGATCCGGTTTCTTTTTTCTTTTTATTTCTTTTATGGTGAATTAGTTTTCCTTTACACACAGATTGTAGTGGCTTCTTTATTTATATTAAGTTCCTATATTACATGGAACATCTCAAGGTCACTTTTCTTTTCCATTGATCTATTTTTCTGTCCTTGTGTCAATACCACACTGTTTTTGTTATGGTTTTGATATGTGTCTTAATATATGCTAGGACAAGTGTCCCTTCCTTGCACTATGTTTTCAAAGACTGACCTATTCATGGACCTTTATTTTCCTACTGAACTTTTGGAATAAGTTTACTATGTTTTAAAAGAACTCAAACTATTGGAAAATAAATTTATATATTAATTTTTTGAAAAATTACATCTGAAATATTAAATGGCTCTTTTTAAGAACAAGGAATATCCTCCAAATGACCATTTTCAGCCGTTTTTATTAGAGTTTTAAATTTATTACCACAGACTCTTGTGCTATGTGGAAAAACTTAATTCCTAAGTAACATATTTTTTTTCTACTAAGAATGTATCTTGTTGTTGTTGTTGTTATGTGCCATCGAGTCCACCCTGACTCATAGTGACCCCTCCTTGGGTTTCCGAGGCAGTATCACTACAGAAGTAGATTGCCCAGCCTTCCTTCTGAGGAGTGGCTGGTGGGTTTGAACTGCCAGCCTTCTGGTTAGCAGTCAAGTGCCTTAGGCACTTCACTACTAGAGCTCCCAGAATGTATCTTATTTTGAATATATTTTCTAGTTGGTTGTGTTAGTGTAGATAAATGTTATTAATTTTAAAAGTAAGTTGATTTATTAAAGTATTATATACATTCAAAAAGGTGCACAAAAGTGTCCAGATCAAAGAATTATCATAGTGAGCATACTGTGTAACCACCTCTCAGATCAAGAAATAGAACAAGGCTAGCACCCAGAAGCCCCCTCCAGATCCTTCGCCATTGTGTCAATTCCAACTCACAGTGATCCTATAGGACAGAGTAGAACTACCACATAGAGTTTACAACGCTGTAAATCTTTACAGAAGCAGACTGCCTTATCTTTCTCCCAAGAAGTGGCTGCTAGGTTTGAACTGCTGACCTTTCATTTAGCAGCCAAGAACATGACCATTGCACAACTGGGTCTCCTTGAAGCTCCCTCATGCCCTCTCAATTTCTTCTTCTGCTTTACTCCTGCAAAGTATCATTATCCCTAGCTTCTGACACTATAGATTCATTTTGCCTGTTCTTTAATGTTATATGATGTTTGCTAGTTTTTTTGGCATGTAACTTATAAAATTAAGGATTTTCTTTCTATTCCTAGTTTGCTAAGAGATTTTTTTTTTTTTTTAAGTCACAAATGTTGAATTTATGTACTGAATTTTTCAAATACCTTTTTCTGTGTCTATTCAGAACAATAGGATCTCTGGTGGTGTAGTGCCTAAGGGATTTGACTGCTAACCAGAAGGCTGGTGGTTCAAACCCACCAACCACTCCTCGGAAGGAAGATTGGGCAATGTACTTCCATAGAGATACCCCCTTGGAAATCCAAGGAGGGGCTGCTATGGGTCGGATCCGAATCGACAGTGATGTGTTTGGTTTGGTTTTATTCAGAACTATACAGGATATTTCTTCTTCAGCCTGTTTATGTATTGAATACATTGAGATCACTTTCGAAGTTGGGCCACTCTTGCACTCATGGGGTAATCACTACATTATCATAATGCATTGGTTTTCTAAAATTAATACTAGCTGATATTTTATTTAGAATTTCTGCATCTATGTTCATTCATAGCAAAATGGGCCAATAATTTTTCTTTTCTGGCATATTGTCTTAGTTTGGTTTTGGTATGAAAATTACAGCAACCTCCTAAAATGATTTGGGCTGCTCCCCCCCCCCCCAGTGTACTGGAAACTTAATTTATATGATACAGGTTTTAATTGTTGTACCTTGAAAGTTTGGTAGAACTTGCCTGTAAGCCCATCTGTGAGGAGGGGAGGTGGCTGATATTTCTGTATTTGTCATGGTTATTGACTTTTGGTATCTGGGTTTGGCTTTGTGCTTTAGGGGGTGTATTTTCTCTCATCTCACTTTCAGATTCCTCCTCTTGTTCCCATCAATGTGTGCTTCAGCCATCCTCTCACAACACCTTTGGTTTACTGCTTCCAATCTGACAGGCTCTCGGAAATTGAATCACACAGCTTGATTGTTAGAAGTATGTGCAAACTGTGTGAGCTGTGGGTTGGGGGTTTCTGTGGACTCCATACTGGGGTTCTTTTTGGAGTGATCTGTGTAGAAGCCTCCATTGCAGAAGTCAGGAGCTTTTCTTGACTCTGACGCAGTGTGGGATGGAGGCCATTTGCATCTGGAGGCACAGCAAACATTGTAGCTCTTCTGGAGCACTGCCCAGGGGCTTCCCCCAGGAAATGCATTTCTTGGACTTGGGGAGTCCTTCTTTGCTTTTTCCTTGTTTCCTTATTTTCTAGTTGGTTCTGCTGAGATATAGAAATGTTATATATTTTAAAAGTAAAATCAATTTTTAAAAATATTTGGAAAGTAAAGTTATTCCTCCCTTACATGAAAACATCTGTGTACACCCACACTTACACCCTTGCATGCACAACGCACAGCCCAGGCCACTTGTGTTGATTGTTCCCGGCATATTTCAGTATCTCTCCCTCTCTCTTGCTGTGATATCTCTATGTCTCTGTCCTGATGCTTTTTATCTCTTTGTTGTTTTCTATCTAGCTCAGTGCCTTTGGTTAAGCCACAGCCCATTCGCCCTCACCCTAGCTTTCCACTCCTTAAAATGGGAGCAGGTCCCTGAGTTTACAATGCATATCAGCCCTGGGGGGCCTCTTGGTCTCAGTCTTTCTTGTCCTTCTCTATATGGCCACCGTGTCTCCCCCGGCACACTTGTTCCTGAAGTTTGCAGCAAACCCTGGTGGTCGGACGATGTGGATGTGCCTCGCCATTGGCCCTGGGAGGTGAGCCTGCGGATGGAAAATAAACACGTGTGTGGAGGGGCCCTCATTGACCCTAGCTGGGTGGTAACTGCCGCCCACTGCATCCAAAGGTGAGTGTGGCCCTACGTGTCCAGGGTCTAGAGACCCAGAGCTGCAGTGGTTCAGCCCACTTCCTCATTTCCTCTGAAAAACTGTGGGGAGTAAGGGGTGGGGAGGAGGGGTTTCTGGAACAGGGAAGAGTTGTGTTCAGAATCTCTTAAGAACAGGGACTATGCTGGGGCAGGAGCTCCAAGCAACAGACTATGTCCTAAGCAGGGCCAAGAGGAAAATCCAGCACATTTTTCCCCTCCTGCATACATGAGAACAGGAGCTCTGGTAGCATAGTGCCTAAGGCACTTGACTTTTAACCAGAAGGCTGGTGGTTCAAACCCACCAGCCACTCCTCGGAAAGAAGATTGGGCAATCTACTTCTGTAGAGATACCACCTCGGAAACCTAAGGAGGGGTCACTGTGAGTCAGATCTGACTCGACGGCAGTGAGTTTGGTTTGGTTTATACATGAGAACATCTGTGTACACCCATATCTACACACCTGCAGAGATACACTGCCCAGGCTACTTTGAATCAACCTGAACAATGAATGGGCAAGCAGGTGCAGTTCTAGCGCTGAGGTGCCTAGGCCACTTTAGACAGGATGGCTGAGCAGAGCAAACTGGGTAGGGCTTCTGCTGACATCTTCTAATTTTTTGTGTCTCCTGCAGCACCAAAGAGTACTCGGTGATGCTTGGCACCTCCCAGCTGCAGCCCGTGAACTCCACCAGGGTCCTCTTCATCCCAGTGAGGGACATCATTTTGCATCCCAAGTTCTGGGGCCGGACCTTCTTCATAGGTGACGTTGCCCTTCTCCAGCTTCATACTCCTGCCACCCTAAGTGAGTATGTTCAGCCCATCTGCCTCCCGGAGCCCAAGTTCAACCTGAAGATTGGGACACAGTGCTGGATGACTGGCTGGGGCCAAATTAAGCAGCGTTTCTCAGGTGAGCGGGATGGGATGGAGTAGGGTACATGGTAGCACAGAAAGTGCACTTTCATCCTTCTGGGCCCTGCAGTGGTGCCTCTTGGGAAGCTTTTGACTGACAGCTCTGGATCCTGGTTCTCTGGGTGTGTTAGGGCTGCTCCTCATATGGGAACCATTGCCACAGTTTACACCTGTATGCTTGATGTTGGCACCTTGCATTCAGGCTGAGCAACCCTGGGGCTGGGCATGGTCATTTGCCTCTTCCAGAAGCTCAGAGACAGAGATTCATAAATTCACTCATAAATGTACTTACTCCTTCACTTGACAAACTTGGTATTGGCAATATATGGAACTTGCAATAGAGTTGGGATTGGGGGTACAGGCTGGCAAGAAGAGGGGCCAAGACCTGGTCAGGTGATCTTGAGATCAAGCCAGAAGGGATCTAGGTTGAGCTCTGGGCAGAGCAATGGCTTGACATGTCTGAAGGAGGAGCCAGTGTTAATCAGATGGCAGAGGAAATACCAGTGCAAAGCTGAGGTTGGGGAGGAGCCTCTACTTGTTTGGAATCTCTACTTTTAAGTGGCTGCATTGGCATTTGTATCACGGCCTACTTGGTTCCAAAGTGAAGCTTTCCAGAGAAAGGGATCTCAAAACACAGCCTTAGAAGGTGAGGGGCCTGTTGGACCTGCACTACAGGAGGAAGGCATCAAGCAAAGGAAGGTAGGGAGTGTGAAAAAGTGTGTCTTGGCCAAATCTTGAGGTTGGAGCTGAGTGAGACGCTGGCTTGAGGTCAGGGCTGGGTAATAATGTGGAATCAGTGCTCACCTCTGCAGGACTCCTCCACAGCCAACTCCAAGTTGACCCCGCAGCTGCAGGAGGCTGAGGTCTTTATCATGGACAACAAGAGGTGTGACCAGATTTACCGCAAGAAGTCCCTCTTCCCCCGTGTCATCCCCCTTGTCCTGGAGGACATGATCTGTGCTACCAATTATGGAGAAAACTTGTGCTATGTGAGTTTCTGGTAACCTTCTTGTTGGGCATAACTTCTGGATGGGGGGCGGTTTCCTGGGGTAGGGGTCTCCTTGGCTTCCCTCTTTGTCACCATCACTGGGCAGTACTCTGCTCCCACCTTCCTTCCCCTGTGACTTTGATTTTGGCTGATATTCTGGGATAGGAGTAACTGGTCAGTGTCTGGGATGGGGCTCCCAATTAAGGAGCTGAAGGAAGAGCCCTAGGTAGTGAAATCCTTCAATCTGAGGCTCCAGGAGTGAAAAGATCTTCCAAGCAGAACTCAGAGGGTGGGCATCCTGGGTTCCCTGGGGCCCAGCTGGACCCAGAGTCCCCATCACTCCTCTCTCTTTGCCTAGGGAGACTCTGGGGGGCCACTGGCCTGTGAAGTCGGGGGCAAGTGGATTCTAGCTGGTGTGATGTCCTGGGAAAAGGCCTGCGCCAAAGCACAGAATCCAGGCGTGTATACCCGTGTCACCAAATACAGCCAATGGATCAGGAAGCAGCTTGATGGAGCTGTCTCAGTCCCCTGTGCCTCCACCTGGCTCCTGCTCCTGTCCGGGCTGCTGCAGCCTCAGATGGGACCCTGACATCTCCCTTCCCCTCCTTTCTCTTCCTTTCTTACCCAGGTTTCCTTGTGGATGTTATCCTATGTGTGCCACACTACTGTTTTGCTGAAAGGGGATAGGTTCAGTTCTAGGTTTAAAGAGTATCTCAGAGCAATAGTCATAGGGGGTCTGTTCTCTACTGTTCCAGTTTGTCTGGCTTTCTTTTTCTTTTTTTAAGAATTTAAGTTCTGCTTCACATTTTTCTCCCATTTCATCTGGGATCATCTGTTGTGGCCCCAGTCAGAATGGTCAGTGGTAGCTGGGCACCAACTAGTTCTCCTGGTATAGCGTTCATTCTTAATTCTGTTGTTCTTATAATTGATTAAGATATGATTTTATATTTTATACTTACTTACTAGAGATTTTCCTCATATTTATTTTGTACCTTTTATAGTTTATTAATTTGAATATTTAATTCACTTATTTTCATTCTTTATTACTCAATAATAAATGCTCAAGGTTATGCATTTGTCTTTGGACACACTCCATACTTTTTTTTTTTTTTTTAATACATTGTTCTAATTATCAGTATTTAAAAAATAGTTCACAGAGTACTTTTGATTTCCTCAAAATAACAAAGTTTATTTTTAAAGTTTCCAAGTGACTTATTTTGTTCACTCCTTTTATATTAACTAGTTTCATTTCATCACTGTAAAAAATGTGGCCCAAACTAGTTAAGCTTTTAGGGAAGTTATTGTGATTTCTCTTAGTAGTCCAAGTGTGAGATTGATTTTTATAGATAAAATTATATAGATATTCTGCCCCTCAAAGACAGAAAGAGTTGGAGGAGACTCATACTACAAGTGAGGTTTTTCAGTTTCTCATATATTGCTTTTGTTTTATCTTTGTTGTTATTTTATTGATGGACAGAACTACATGATGTTACATATCCATTGTAATTTTTGTGTGTTTTTTCTTCCAACATAAAATAATGTCCTTTTACTGTTTAAAGCTTTTGTGTGGAATCACATTTTTAAAGAGATTAACATTGCCATTTGTTTTTGTTTGAAAATGCTTAATATTTTTTTGCCAATCAACTGTTTCACCTCACTTTGTGTGTGTCTCTAATAAATAGCATATGAGTGGGATTTATTTTCTACACAATATAAGAATCTTTATCTTTTAAAAGTAGAGCTTTATGCATTCTCATGGGTTGTGGTCATGGATATGTTTGGTCTTTATTCAGTTATTTTGTTTCTTGATTATTTCTTCAAAATTATTATTTTCCACAAAGGCAGAAAAGTAAATAGGGTCTTTCTCCTTTGGAGTTTCTTTCCTTTTTCAGCTTGTGGAATATATGTATGAAT